CAATATTCTCTTGGGGGTTACAAATTCAATAGAATACCAAATTTTCTTTTGTGACCACACATTGGTTGGGAAAGTGGACTTGGGGGTATACTAATGTGGGGACTATACTTAAATAAATGCATATGTGGATAATTATCTGTAAGATGGTTTTCTACCTCAGGGTTTTTTACCCAATGTAGCCTCAAGACTAAGATGGGCCCGAAAAATAAATAAAAAATAAATAAATTATGAGAAGAGGTTTTCTTCCCCCTTAGAAACAAAGATGTCAAATAAGGGCAAAAAAATGGAAAAAGTGGCCAAGACCCCGAAAATACCTTAAATCATATGATGGTGATACTAAAACGTGATCATTTCTTGCATGGATGGTTTTTTTAAATTATCAACATAAGGTAAAATTAGTACGAAAAATATGGTTAAAATGTAGAATTTACTTGAAATCGGGTTGTTCCATTATCGGGGGTTATGACCCATATCATGACCTGCCAAAGCGATTAAAGGTATCTTGAATGTTTGGAAAAAATTTCTGGAAGGAATTCGCTCTACTATTTTGCGTCCTTTATAGTCGGTATTTCACGGATTGCAGTCCCAATGTATTTTACATTTTGAGTTCTCATTGGACGAATTATTGTCATATGAAAGAAACAGGTCCACTTTTTGAAGTGAACCCCATAACGCCTTTTCGGTAATTTTTATTTGTATAAATGTGTTTGCATCTTCCAGCTGAAGGTCCTGTTATAAGCGTAGTAACTAACATAACTTTCTTTTACATATAGAGAGACAGATTTAAAAGTAGGCGCGTTCCTCAGCCCCTAAATAAATACTTACGGTTGGATGGAAAGCCAACAGTATCTCGTGTAATAATTCTCAAACCGATATCTTCATTAATTTGGCAAATATAAGGATTTTAGATAAATCGAAATAGTGGGCGTAAAAGTAGGCGTGGTCAATATTTTTTTCTTTAAAAACCTAACTCGGGGTATGACGAATGTTTGTACAAAAAATTATGCAAATCGGTACACCCGTTCTCAACTGATTCCCTTACCAACGAACAACAATTGATTTATATATATATAGAAGAAGAAGAAGAAGATATAAAAATCAATTGTTGTTCGTTGGTAATGGAATCAGTTGAGAACGGGTGTACCGATTTGCATAATTTTTTGTACAAACATTCGTCATACCCCGAGTTAGGATTTTAAAGAAAAAAATATTGACCACGCCTACTTTTACGCCCACTATTTCGATTTATCTAAAATCCTTATATTTGCCAAAATAATGAAGATATCGGTTTGAAAATGATTACACGAGATACTGTTGACTTCCCATCCAACCCTGAGTATTTATTTGGCGGCTGAGGAACTATATATATCTAAAAGAAAGTTGTGTTAGTTATTACGCTTATAACTTAAGAGCCGCTTATCTGATTTTAGCGATTGAAACAAATTCGGAATTGTCTCTTGCCAGAAGAGGATAAAAATAAAAAAAAGCACGGAAAATTTTAAAATATGAAAATTTTCATTTTGACTTTTGAAGTGTACAATAGTAATGTTTTATATTGGATGTATTGGATTTTTTTACATTTTGACTTACTATTTTCGTATGTATATTTGTAGCGTTTTTTTGTTTTTTATTTCTAATATGATTTGTAGTCTTTTTGTGGAGTATGAAGCGACAACGGACAATAGATTATAGATTTTACGTATTTATTGAGTAAGTAGAATTATACTAATAATATTATTTCAAAAGATAATAATCTATGAACACAAAAATCAATATTTTAATTACCTTTTTAAAGTCGCTAAAAAATCACGAAAAAAAAGAGGAGAGATCTCATCGCAAAAATTCTGAAATCGGAAAAAAATTAATGGATTCGAATTTCAAAATAATTGTACATTACATTAACAAACTTCGTAGGGCCTTTAAACATTTGCTGTAAAACTCAGCGAGTAAGTTGAAGATTTTTTTCAATTTGCTTTTTTTTGTCAATTTTATATAATGTACAATTTTTTTAATTCAGCTTATATTGAAATTAACCGTTTTTTTGTGAACAAAATAAAGACTTTAATTTAAAAGAAAGTTATGTCAGTTACTACGCTTATAACTCATGAACGGCTTGACGGATTTTAAGAATTCATACAATTTCCGATGGTACACTCAATACGATATTAAATGGCGATTTTTCATGCTTAAACTGACATCTATTGATTGACGAAAATGACCGACAAATCAATATGGGGCTCATTTCAAAACGTGGACTTACTTCTTTCACATGACAATAATCCCTCCAATGAGAACTCAAACTGCAATCATTGTGACTGCAATCAGTGAAATGCCGAATATAAGTCGTGCAAAATAGAAGAGCGAATTGGACATTTAGGATGAAATGGATTTCTTCCTTCTTCTTAAAATCGCTTTTGAAGGTCATGATATGGGTTATAACCCCTGGATAAGGGTACAACCCGATTTTAAATCTCGGAAAATGTTGGTAATTTGAAAAGCAACCATCCTTTTGGTATAATCATCATATGGGTTTTGGCCACTTTTTTAATTTTTTCGCCCTTATTTGGCATCTTTTTTTTCTAAAAGGGTAGAAAACCTATTCGCATAAAATTTTCAATTTTCGGAGTAAGGCCCATATTGGTCTTGACACATTCATCAATTGATTTGGCTAAATAATATTATTTTTAATATATTCTGGGGTAGAGAACCATCTTATAGATAATTGTCCACGTAGGCATTTATTTAAATATAGTCCCCACATTATGTGTGCCCCCAAGTCCACATGGGAATGTAGATTTGGGATGTACGTCTATATGAAATAAACTCCGAAATGTCAAACTGGGATTCATTCAGTCGGAAATCGTGGCAGAAACATGAAAAAATTTACTAACACTGGAAAGTAACACTGGACTGAACATTTGTTTAATTGTCATTGCATTATACTATGATAAAAAATATGGATTTTATGGGATCTCCAAAGCAAAATTTAAATGACAAAAAAATTAATTCTTTTCTTACGGTAATGGGTGCAAAAGAGTAATTATCTTTGACTTCATTCTGCCCTCAGTTGAAACGTGGACGAAACTAAATACCACGCAGCACGGACTTCTAAACGTTGGAAATATAAATTCCAAATTACAGCTAATTTGAGCGGAAAATGTTGCCAAGCTCTTTACAATGTAAAAAATTGAGCTGAATTTTTACATGGGGCTATTATAGATGTTCTATATCATATAGGTTTTAGCACTCAAATTAAAGCCTAAAACCGACTGTAAGTGAACATCTGTTGTAATTTTTGCAATGAATATTTATTTCTATTCAGAAATTACTATGGAGTCATTACTTATAATAACAATTGTGCCGCTTACATAGCTCCGCTTTATGATTTATTATGCTTTAAAAAATATGCATTAAAGACTAAATGTATGGGCCGGCAACGCGGGTCGGGCCAGCTAGTATATATATAGAAGATAAATGACTCAAATATTCATGTAGCCTTCATTCTAAATGTGAACGTTTATTTGTTACAAGCATAGTGTTGCAAGGTATCATATAGTCGTCCCGTCTGACTTTTGACTTTTCTTTTGGTGGCCATTGTAACCATTCTTCGGTTGCGCGTGCTGAGTACGATGGTGCTGAGTCCTGTTGGAATTTCCAAGGTCTGCGGCCAAAATGTTTGCGTGTCCAAGGCATTAATACACGCCATAATATTAGGCATTTATTCTGATGCCACGATCGATTAATACGAGCGGAGAGCGACCATCGGCTGTTATGGCGGCCCACACCAACACCATGGCCGGCGCTTGGTGGCCAACCGAAGGTTCACATTTTGAGATGACCTCTTTGGTCATTTTGTTTGTTTACAAACTGCTGGACAATGAATGTTTTCTTATCGGAGAAAACTAAATTCGGCAACTCTTTAGCTCTTTTGAGTCTATTTCTTTCTGTTGCGGTGTAAGTTCTTGCACTTTTTGAAATTTCAATGGCTTTACCCCGAACTCATTTTTGAATATTTGCCGAATGGAATATTGCGATATGTTCAGCTCAGGAGTCATTTTTTGGCCACTGCGACGCGGGTTTCGATCAAGTCGCTTCATTACTTTTCGAAGCATTTCTGCTGATGTTCCTGTTTTCTTCCGCCCAGTTCCTCGACGATGGGCTACGCTACCAGTATCATGGTAACGAGCGATGGTACTAGACACAAAAGATTTATTCACATTTAAATGCTGGAGTGCTCTAATGATAGCCACTTTTGGTTTTCCAGCCAAATATAAAGAAATCACACTATCACGCTTGAATTCCAGCAGGAATAACTTTTTTTTCTGGAAAATTCTCATCAAAATGCTTTTGTAACAATCCTCGGACGAGTGGCTTGGAAATGACAGCAGTACGAAGATTGTTGCAGTTTCTTCATCTCACCCTGTATATTGTATCCATTTTGCTATATATCCGGGAATCAGGAGATTTTTTTTCTATTTATAGTCCATTTAAACCCCTAAATATTTTGCGATCATCTCTAAAAACAATAGGCTTCTACATATTCTATCCTATCCCCATCTTTTCAACAGATTTTGTGTTGATGGAAATATTGAGATGTACCAAGTCTTCGCTTTTTATGAGCTTCATGGATATTCAAAATGTTGAGCCTATGTGTGGGTTAACATAAATATTGGGATGTGTGATTTGAAGTCAATCGGCATCTCACATCACATTTTATAAGAATTATAATTCTGACAATAATATTACGGTGTTCTGAAACGTCCAAAGGGGCTAAGGATCTAAAACCGTAATTTCGACTAGATACGTTTTGACCGTATCAAATGATACATACCCATATGACTGAGGGTATAATTATGCGTTTTTACTACGCTTTGATTTTGTTGGAAATGAAAAAACCAGGTAGAGAATCTCAATGCTCAATTCATCACTTATATTATTTTAGAGTACTATAGAATAAGTTATATTATAATTCCTGCAGAAAACAATGTACAAAAACTTACCACTGGTATCATTTATGTCGAAGAACGATGTGAATGGGTTGCCTTCAGACACCAAGCCATAACGAACTTCTCGTGGACTACCTTTATCTCCATCTTCAGCATGGACTTGAAGAATCTAAAAACAAATTTGGATACGTTGTGGTTAAAAGAGAGAGATAACCATTATTTATTATTTTTGGTTGCAATTTAAAATACACCCACTATTTAAAGATAGTGCAATGATGGGAACCTAAGGTGTAATAATAATTGAAACTAAATGGGATCAATCGGTCATGTTTTAGAATGAAATATTTTCTAGTGGGAGAGAAAACAGGCTTAAACAATTTTTAGTAGTTAATATTCTAAAAATTGGGACTCAATATTTAATTTTGTGGCTTCGAAGATAATTTTTACCCACTGGCACTTTGTATTGTTATTTTATTGTATAATGAAAGTAAAGAGTACTGTTATAACCCCAAAAAGGAAAAATATTTAAACGATATATATTCTATAACGCTGTGAGCATGTGTAGAACGGCTTCAACAGTTCATATTTTTATGTGGAATTTTTCTTTCAAGTTTTAAATTTGAAATATAGGCACAATATGATGAAGAACATGAACAAAAATTTTGAAACAATAATAATCGACCCAATTACGGTTATCGTTTTGCGTCGTTTCTAAAAATGGTATTATGGTAAGGCATAGGAACGACATCGACAGTATAAAAACAAGTTAAAAAGCAGTTAGTTCGGCCGGGCCGAACTTTGAATACCCTCCACCATTTGGAACGAATTTGGAAATTTTCAAAGAATAAAATCCTTAAAAAATTCTGTTAAAATATTAAAAATACCAAATACAGCCGTTATATTGGGGTCTATACGACGAGGACCTACATTGGCACTGTTCGTCATAAGCCATTACCATATTCAAATTCGAAACTTGAAATAAACGGTGAATAATGTAGCTAAAATCATCAAAATATCGTATATAGGGAGGTGCCGTTAAATTGGAGCTGTGCAAAGACCTGGACCAGCATAGACAGTTTTCTGTCACAGGCTGTAGCATCCATTACGAACTTCAAATACCACATTTCAAACAATTTCGGTGGGTATTGTACCTAAAATCGTCAAAATACCTAATATGGGGAGGTACTGATATATGGGGCCTATACGAAGACCTGGACCCGCACAGACAATTTTCTGTCACAGACTGTAGTATTCATTACGAACTTCAAATACCAATTTTCAAACAATTCCGGTGAATAATGTCGCTAAAATCATCAAATACCGAATATCGGGAGGTACCGTTATATGGGGCTATATGAAAACGTGGACCTACATGGCCCATTTACGAACTTAACCTGCCTACTGGAAAAATAAACACGTGTGCAAAATTTTAGCCTTCTATCTCAATTCGTTCGAAAGATAGCGTGATTACAACACACAGACAGACGGACATGGCTAAATCGACTTAGAATTTTACGCTGAACAAAAACGGAACGGCCCTTGTAAGGCATCATCCACACCAAATATGCCTGATGAGGCGCTTAACCAACGGCGAAACGCGTCGCATAGTGGTGAGATAGACACTAATCTGGCTTTCCTTTTCACTGCAAATTTCAGATCATTAAGCTCGCCTCGAAAGAGAAATCAAACACATAAATCATAAAACATATGATCTTCGCCTTAATAAGGCAAAACTTAAGAATATATATACTTTGTTGGGTCTGACATGAGTATTTAGGAGTTACAAACGGAATGACAAAGTTAATACCCTCCATAGTATGGTGGAGGGTATAACAAGTTGGCAACACTTGCTTGTTGTTGACAAAAAAAAAGAAAAAAATGTTTGCAGCGGCGAGTCTTAAAGCAGCAAACAAACATATTTGTATTACCTGACTCCAAGTAAGTACATATTTAAAGCGGTTTGGAAGTTATAGTAAAATTATCGATTTTTTAGACCCGATTTTTTTATAAAACCCCAAAGATGTCGAAAAAGGGCCCAACAAAATTGATGCCAAAGTATGGCTGACACTCTTACCTTTCCAAAATGCTACAATTTTGCTAATACCTTTTCTGGGTCCAGAGATGTTCTCTTCTGGGTATGTTCAACCAGCTACGCGAACTAAAGTTTTATAAATTTAACGGCCTTCGGCCCCACCATGTGACCACTTTTTGGATAGCTTTTAAACGATACCTATTTTGCGTATATCGGGTAAGTGGATCCGGGTCTTGAACCAAGACTTTCAAGTCAAAAATCGGGGGAATCACAGTAACAGTTTCCGGGATTCAGGGTAAAAATACCTACCTCTGAAAAAATGTCCGATAAAATCGAAGAGTTTTTACTAAACTAGAGTTATTTTAAATGGTCACAGCATTATGGTTTTTAGCGGTAGAGTCTTAGTAGACCAGTGTTGGAAATGTCTTCAATATTTCCAAATTGTTTTGCTGTTGTTATTTCATGGTAAAATGTCAAATACAAAATGGTTAAAATATCAACGCCGACTAAAAAATATAATGTCGTCTAATTTTTTACAGCGCAAGATACTCTCTAAAAACAACTTCCCGTCAACTGTTGCATCGACATTCATCGCTATCGAAAAAAATGACAACCCTAATATCGTTATTGTCGCCTCGACTTCATTTTGCGACGACGACGACAATCGTAATAGGGCCGAATTTTTTTTTGACTTGAAACATTCAAACATAACTTTTTCTATGCTTTGACATCGAAATTATAAAAATTGTAAAACTTTTATTTCATAGATTGGGTTATGAAAATCACTCACCTTGTCTCCGGGCAGTATACCAGTTGGCAATTTCGTAACTGGCGGGGCCATCGTAAACACGGGAGGTTGGTCTTGAACGTCTTGTATAATTACAACAATTTCCATACCAGCAATATTACGGCTATCTTGACCAGGCTCAGCATAGGCGTCCTAAAAAAGAAAAATAAAATTGAGCGCAACAGTAATAATTTTGACTTATATCACATTAAATATGTAGTTTTGTAAATTCATATTATACTACCTATTTAACGTAACTTTTACCCAATTTTAAGGTGACAACTAAAGCCAGCTGTCAACATTAGTGGAATTCGCTTTACAATTACAATATATGTAGAGTGACATATATGACATCAGTTCGAGAAGGTTTATATTAAAACAAGTAAGCAAAGGCTACAGTCGAGCGGGGGCCGACCGTTGAATACCCTACAACACTATAATAAACCATACAGTTTATATAGGCGAGATACTCGAAAGAATTCCACAAGATATTGTGACAAATAATAAAAGAAAACCATCAGGTTTCGTTCTCTAATTTTCGGATAATAGCAACTTAAACGAATTTGCTCATTTCCAATTTATTGGTAGATGTTGCACGTAAATGGTCTTCCTAGATCTGGAACCAATATTTCCCAAAGACCTTTAATCTCTCAGAAGTGGCAAAAGATTAACATTTATTATTGGTTTTTGACTGAAACGCATCTATATGAGATACAGACATTTGACTATATTCTTCAACGAAATCAGCGTTAACGAAATAGTCAGAAGTGCGTCTTTCCTGTATTTGTGAATTCTCCAAAAAGTCACTGGAATGGACATTTTCGTATTTAGTCTACAAAAGTTGGCAAACTATTTCACACATTGAATATTTTTGGATGGCCATCCAAAACTGCTTGGCTTTTGCAATGTCCGGTAACCCCCATTCAAATGTGCGAGAGGATCGGCCGAAAATTACGACCTGCTGACAATTTTGCAGTTTTTTTTGTCCATTTCAACCCCTAAATATATAACGATCATCTCCAAAAAGAGTAGGCATCTATTCTGACCCTCATCTTATCCCCATGCAAAATTTCGTAAGGATCGGGCGATAAATGCGATCTGTATATGATATCCTGATATCCTAACTACTTAGTTTTGTTAGCTGTAGAAATATTAATATTAAAATATTAATTCAAAATGAAAATATGCCAAAAATATGACAAAATTGAAAAAATATGAGAAAATGTTACAAATCCAATATTTTCATCTTTAGAGAGATATTTTTATGCGATTTTTTAGACGTTTTTTCTTTCCTAACAAGAGGCCTTTCTGAATTAATGAGAACTGTCGAAATCAGTTCAGCCGTTCTCGACATATAAGAGATTTTTCAAGCATATCTTCTTTGATAGACATATATATATCGCACATATTTTGCTATATATCCAATTTGTTGGATGTTAACATCAATGTAAAGGTCAGAAGTAACCTTGTCATGGCTTTGTGATTTCGACGGGATTTAAAATATTCACGGTTTAATGAAAAATTTTGATTTTTTTCAACACAAAAGATATGGTCTATTTTACCCGCTAAATATTATCCGATGACCACCCAAATTGGTAGGCTTCTTCCCCGCCCTAAACTCTAGCTACATGCGAAATTCCGCGTCGATTGGACATTTTTTCAGTATTTGGTCCATTTCAACCCCTAAACATTTGGCGATCATCTCCAAAAGAAATAGGCTTCTATTCTGACCCTAAGCCCACCTTCCTGCAAAATTTCGTAAGTATCGGGCCATAAATGCGACCTGCAGCGTGATTACAAATTAACATGGCCAGACGGACAGACGGACGGACGGACATACATAGCTAGATCGACTCAGCTCGGCGAGCTAGGAAGATCCATATATACTTTCCTATATGGGAAACCAATATTTCGAGGTGTTACATAAATTCTGGCCCAATCAAACTTATAATACCCCCAACACATAGTGTTGTAGGGTATAAAAATATATAGTTACACAAAATGGAAATTTGGCAAAGGTATTTCCGAACCCTTTAAGATATCTGGTACCAAATATTGTTGTCGAATGCATATTACGAATGTGAGGGACCGAAACACGGAATCGGATGAAAAATATATATGGGAGTTATAGCTATATCTGAACCGATTTTCACTAAATTTGATGTTCTTGCTTCTAGAGTGAATTCGGTTGGATGTGCCAAAATTCCAAAACTTGGACTTTTATTAGCCATTTGGTCACAATTAACTCCAAATCGGTTGAAGATATATGTGAGCTTTATCTAAATCTGATCTGATTATTACCAATTTCGCCCTTGGGTCAAACAAATATTTTTCATTTCAAACGGATAATGCGATCTGCATTTTGTTCACAAAAATACATGGACAGACGGACGGACATACGGACTGACTTGTATAAATCGACTCAGAAAGTGATTCTGTGAAGATCCTCAAAAGTCTATCTCGCTTCCTTCTCTATGTTACAAAGAAATGCACAAATACATAATACTGTTACCACTATGTGGTGTAGGGTATAAGAATCTATTATTGAAATATTTGACAATTATTTGTTAGATTGGACATACAGATTGGGATAAAAAACTGCAAAAAATTCAAATGCCATAATTTTTAAGCAAAAAATGTCGGAAATAGCATCAATTTGTAGAATAAGTTTAGATTTGTTCGAATTGGTCACTTTTGGCACGAATTATGGCCTTCAAACGGCCGATGTTGCTCACGCGAATGTTGCTCTACGGTATTTTGGCCCATTCCCGGCGAAGCGCTGGCTTGAGGTGATCTACATTTTGGTATTTTTTAGTGCCAACCTTGCTTTCCAAAATACTCCAGACACAATAGTCCAACGGATTGGTATCCGGAGATTTTGGTGGCCATTGTGCGCTGGAAATGAGAAAACCTCATTTTGTAACCATTATTGGGTGGCGGGTGCTGAGTCCTGTTGCGTGACCAAGGCTTGAGTTCTGGTGGCCAACCGAAAGTGCACATTATCAGCTGACCTCTTTGGCAAATAAACACGATCATTTTCTTTCTGTTGCGGTGTAAGTTCTTGCACTTTTTGGAATTTCAATGGCTTTACCCCGAGCTAATTTTTCAATATTTGCCGAATGGTATATTGCGATATGTTCATCTCACGACGCATTTTCCGTCCACTGCGACGCGAGTTTCGATCAAGTCACTTCTTTACTTTTAGAACCATTTCTGCTGATGTTGCTGTTTTCTTACGTCCACTTCCCTGACGTCGGGCTACGCTACCCGTATCACTGTAACGAGCGATGGCACGAGACGCATGGATTTATTCACATTTAAATGCTGGAGTGCTCTGACGATAGCCACTTGTGGTATTCCAGCCAAATATAAAGAAATCACACTATCACGAATAGTTTTAACAGCTGTCGGACGAGTGTCATAGATATGGCAGCAGTCTGAAGTTGGTTGCAGTTTTTTTATCTCACACTGTATAGCAATGTTATTTGGTATAAAATATTTAAATGTCTCCGTCAAATTTAGTGAAAATCGACTCAGAATTGGATATGCCACCCATATATCAGTTCCCTCTAAAACCAAACTATAACTGCTCTAAACCAAATGTTGATATGTGGTATGATCTACTTTAAATAAATTCTTTTGTTACGGGAAATTAAATTATGAAATTGTGATTTGCTGTGATTTGATCGTAATAAATAATAATAATTAAAAAGCACCTTCACCATTTAAAAAAAAAAAGAAAAATTACAAAAAAAAAATACGTCGAAAAATGCCACTTAAATGAAAACCGTTGTATAAGGGCTAAACGTTGACCTGCATAAATTTTTGCCAAATACGAAATTTAAAGCAATTCCGTTGAATAATGTCGCTAATATCATCAAATACAGAATAAAGGGATGTACTGTTACATGGGGGATATACGGTATCGTGGCCCTATGAAGACAATTCTCTTTCGGGGGGGTAAAGTACTCAGAAGGAACTCCTGCTGTGGGATTTCAGACAATTGCATTGAAAAATGTGGCTACTGTCATCAAAATACCGAATAACGGGAGGAACCGTTATATGGGGGATATACGAAATGGTGGGCCTATATAGACAATTCTCTTCCAGGGGGTAGATCGCTCACAAGGAACTCGTTGTGTGATTTTGAGACAATTTCATTGAAAAATGTGGCTAAAATCATAAAAATACCGAGTTTTTGGAGGTGCCGTTACATGGGAGATATACGACATCGTGGACCTATATAGATAATTCTCTTCCAGTGGGTAGAGTACTTAGAAGGAACTCAAGGTATGGAATTTCAGAAAATTTCATTGAAAAATGCGGCTACAATCATCAATAGTTGGATATCGGTAGGTACCTTTATATGGGGGCTATCGTGACCTGCTTGTACACAAAAGACTGATCTGTGTGAAATTTTTGCTTCCTATCTTAACGGATAGACAGACAGGGCTAAATAGAATTTTATGCTGATCAAGAATATATATACTTTTTAAGGTCTAAAATTATTATTTCGATGAGTTAGAAACGGATGGTGGAGGGTATACAAATTTCAAATTACGTAAAAATGGGATACTAAAAAGGCCATAAACTTTTTTCAGTTTTCACTATAACTGAAAATCTATAGGATATTGCAACTTAAAAACAGCTGTTAAAATTATCTAAATATTCAAAGGGACATATCACGTCAGCATAAGTATATGTGTATCAATATAACGAAATCAAGTCCTCAGCCCAAGGTACCTAAGATTTCATCACCTCTTTTTATTTATGGCGACAAGCATCAGTTGATATTACCCTATTTCAAATATTTGATGCACCAGACACGATATGATACCGATATGCACCAGATCCAATGAAGTTTGGAAGAAATGACGGAATTTAGTTCAAAAAAATTGCCAAATTTCTGTTCAGATTTGGATATAGCTGTCATATATATGTATCTCCAATTTCAATGAAATGTGGAAGGTGTGACGGAATTTGGTCAGAAAATAAATGTTGTCAAATTATATTAAATTCGGTTCGGATTGGGATATGGTTTTATTAAGAAACATTTTCCCATAACGCCTTTACAATAGTATTAGGCTAACAGTAAAAAAAGTAGAAACAATTTAATCGAGGATACGATTATTACGGGAGGTATGTTGCTACATCGAAATTTCTAATAGCAAAAGACAGAGTTCAGCTAGCACTAACATAAATATGTACGAAGTTCGGGCGTCGGTTTGCCCTAAACGTAATTTTTAATTTTTTTGGTAGAAAGAGTTTAATGGCGAAGTTAAAAAAAACAGTAAAGAAAGTCCTAAAGTCGGGCGGGGCCGATTTTATGATACCCTACACCACTTTGTTAATTTAGTTGAGCTCCACATAACAATTAAAAGTGTTTATGGGAGAATTCAATCATACACGTTATGATTATAATTATAATTTAAAGTTCAAAGGACTAAATATGCCGAAGCATTTGTATCTTTTAAATTCGGACTTGTATTGCCCATTTGGTGCAAAATTAATTTGAAATCAGATAAAGATATATATGGGAGCTATATCCAAATCTGTATGGGAGCTATAGCTATATCTGAACCGATCTTCACCAAATTTGGCATACTACCTTCTAGACTCTTTTCGGTCGTATGTGACAAATTCTATCCTATTTGGGCAAATATTAGACGTTTGGTGCACAATCAAAGGTAAATCGGACGAAGTTATATATGGGAGCTATATCCAAATTTGAACCGATCTCGATAGAATTTAGCAAAGGTATTTCTGAGCTGTATTTGATATATTTCCCTGAATATCGTTGTTACAGAGTGCATATTACGGCTGTGTGTAACAAATACAACAAATCGGATGAACAATATATATGGGAGCTATAGCTATATCTGAACCGATCTTCACCAAATTTGGCATACTACCTTCTAGACTCAATTCGGTCTTATGTGCCAAATTCCCATCCCATTTGGACAGATATTAAAAGTTTGGTGCACAATAAAAGTAAATCGGACGATGTTATATATGGGAGCTATATCCAAATCTGAACCGATCTCGATAAAATTTAGCAAAGGTGTTTCTGAGCTGCATTTGATATATTTCCCTAAAAATTGTTGTTACAGAGTGCATATTACGGCTGCGGAGGACAAGAATAACAAATCGGATGAACAATATATATGGGAGCTATAGCTATATCTGAACCGATTTCGATCAAATTTGGGATACTTATTTTCGGGCCCAATTTGGTTGTATGTGAAAAATTCCATACTATTCGGGATTATATTACACGTTTGGTGCACAATAAAAGGCAAATCGGACGAAGATATATATATATATATATATATATATATATATATATATATATATATATATATATATATATATATATATATATATATATATATATGTATATGTATATATATAAATTTTTACCGATTATCTCATAATTTCAATAGGGTTCGTCCTTGGGCCAAACAAATGTTGTTTGTAAAATTTCATCTCAATCGGATAATAAATGCAACCTGCATTTTGTTCACAAGAATGCATGGACAGACGGACTGACATGCATAAATCAACTCAGAAAGTGATGCTATGCAGATCATCAAAAGGAACTATGGACATTTTTCGTTTCCTTTTGCCTGGTACAAACAAATGCACAAAGACATAATACCCTGACCACCTTGTGGTGTAGGGTATAAAAACAAAAAAGGTAAAAAGTAGTGGGCCTTTTGGAGTTTTTGTGGGTAGATACTAGAAGCAGACGAACCTGTCATTATGTGCGAAGATTCATCACAATAGGATACCTCTCTCGCTTTCAATGAGAAAAATGAGAAAATTATTTTTTGAAACGGGCTTCGTGCCAGTAGACATAGTGTGTAAAACAGTTATTTGGATGAAGGAAAACATTTTGGACATAGTATTCATAAATTGATGTCACATCCTTTCAAAGCATCGCATAACTTCACAAAAGGATAGAGTTTTTATTTTTAAGCTACAAAAACGCCAGGTAGCAAAAGTCCATCAGAAAATAACATTTGCTGCATTGAATTCTCTCATCAGGGAAACTTGTTTAAATGGAAAGTAAGTGATCATAGAACTTGAATTGCAAGCATTTGCTTCGATCACAAGGGTGTGGAATGGCCACAGCTTGGCCATTAACAAATTGCTGATTACGACCAACTATGGGTATTATGTGTTTTAACTGGTTTCTTAGAGGGCGTCCCGCAAACGCCAGCAACCGGCTTACAGTTATGCAAGGCATCAACGTTTACAACTGGTTCAGATTGGTAATTAAGAGCATATTTGTCTTGTCTTCGCTTAGTCAAAGCAAGTTAATGAATTAGAAAAAAGAGAATTTATACTAAAGAACCGTTAAACGGAAGCGAATCACTTCAGTGATGTAGAATACATAACTAACTTAATGAGAATCAGTTTGACATAAACAACCTTGAGGTATTTTACACTTTGGGATGCATCAATATCTGTTTCTAAAGGCAATTTTTGGGGTATACAGGGTGAGGTAAAAAACTGCAACAAAGTCAAATGCCATAATTTTTACATTTTGTTTACCATTGTTGGGTGGCGCGTGCTGAGTGCGATGGTGCTGAGTTCTGTTGGAATGTCCAAGATCTGCAGCCAAAAAGTTTGCGCGCCCAAGGCTTTAATACACCCCCCAGAACATTTTCGCGATAATTTTCGGCATTTATTCTGATGCCAAGGTCGATTAATACGAGCGGAGAGCGACCATCGGCTTTTATGGCCCATCGGCCCACACCATCCCCATGGCCGGCGCTTGAGTTCCGGTGGCCAACCAAAGCTGCAAATTTTCAGCTGACCTCTTTGGAAAGTAAACACGATCAGTTTGTTTGTTTACAAACTGTTGGACAACGTTGTTGATGTTTTCTCATCGGAAAAACCAAATTCGGCAGTTCACCAATTTCGGTCAAGTGAAGTAACTCTTTAGCTCTTTCGAGTCTATTTTCTTCCTGTTGCGGTGTAAGTTCTTGCATATTTGGAGTTTTAATGGGTTGACCTCGAGTTCATTTTTCTATATTTGCCGAATGGAATATTGCGATATATTCAGCTCACGAGCAATTTTTGGGCCACTGCGTCGCTTCTTTACTTTTCGAACCATTTTTGGTGATGTTGCTGTTTTCTTCCGTCCACTTCCTTGACATCGGGCTGCGCTAACTGTATTCACATATAAATGCTGGAGTGCTCTGACGATAGCCGCTTTTGGTTTGGTTTTCCAGCCAAATATAAAGAAATCACACTATCACGCTTGAATTCCATCAAGAATAACTTTTTTTCTGTAAAATTCTCACCAAAATGCTTTTTACGCTTGTAAGCAATCTAATGAGCTGTCACTAAAATAATTATAACAGGTGTCGGACGAGTAGCTTAGAAATGACAGCAGTCTGAAGTTGGTTGCAGTTTTTTCATCACACCCTGTATGTAAGGATTAACATTTGTAAATGGGTAAAAAGCTAGGTTCGGTGGGACATTGTATGAACGTACGAAAACAGACGATACGATTAACGAAACGCTCAAACGAAGTCTCAAATTCAATTCAAAACCATAAATATTCAAAACAAAACCACAAATATTTAAATGCCAAGTACGAGCTGTATCCTTTGCGAGCGAGTCGCCATGAAACGTTTCCAAACGTTTGAAATGGGTGTTGTTTTCTTTCGTTTAAGATGTTGTGTCATCCAGCAGAGGACACTCAGTGTTGTTTTTGTTTCGACTCACCTACGCAAACAGTACGAAAGAAATCCCGTTATCTGAATATTGGTTTTATTTCGTACTTTGAGAAAATACAGAAGGAAATGAATGCAAACGTTTCATATAGTTTATTTTTGTACTCTGCTTTTTATACCCCCTCTATACCACTCAAATAAGTGCGAGTATGTTTTGATCGTTTTTAGTGCGAGTAAAGTTTTCTCGAAATCGATCCGATTCTGCTTTTGTCGAGTAATCTTTTAGTTATTGTTATACCGTTGTTTTATATGTAGTTATGAGTTTTTCCTCAACCCACAGCTACAAACGAAATGATAAAAATTTCCTATTTTTCTCCTCATGTACACGGTCTCCACCTCAGTTCATCAGTAACATCATGAAATAACCTTCAAACATCAAATTATCTATAAAAAGCAATTATTTCTTGAAATTTCCTTAATTTTATGTGTTCTGAAAAATCATCCTATTTAACATATAAGGTCTTAAATTATGATGAAAGTTATAAAAATAAATCGATAGTAGTAATTGTATTGAAATAAAATCCGAACTGTTTACTTACATTGGCCAATATGGTTAAATGGTACATGGCTTGTTTTTCGAAGTCCAACGGACCCAGCAGAAATATAGTTCCCTCTGTCGTTTCAGGAGAAACAATTTTCTGTCTTATGGCAAACAAAGGTGATCCCTGTTAAAAAAGAATAAAATGTTTTTTTTTTATTTATCATGTGAACGCAGTATTCTGAATAAACTATAGGAAAACTAAAACAAAAAATTAAATATTTTTTCTACATCATTCTTGGTGCTTTCTGTTGGGAATTTTCCCCGCAAATATTACTCCACATAAAGGCCTATTTGCAATTGTTTCCCAATTTTGAGATCATTGATCTAAGTTCTGTTTAGCAGGACTATCCTTAAATAATGGAAATCGATTTCAGTCGATTTTGGTAAAATTGGAAAATGGATTCTTAACCGATTATATAAAATCGAAAGATTGAAAAGTTGGCTTTTTTGTAGAAAGCAAAAACCGACAAGCCTAAAAGTCGACTTCTGTGTTTAATAGTGTATCCCTGTATCCAATTTAATAGTGTATTCCTGTATCCATTGCGGTTGCGATGCGGCCAGTTGGAAACTCTATTTTTCCAAATTGTGCGTAATTGTTCACATATTATTCCAAATTCAATTTAAATTCATCTTTGAGCTCTAAATAATGTGAAAACCAAATTAATTACTCACCCATAACTCGAGGTATACTGGCTTTTGAAAAAGAGGATTTTTTCGAGCAATCACATAGTCCAACTCTGTGCCCCGTTTGGCATCCTGAAATAAGCAATCATAAATATGGCATTTTCTCAGTACGGAAAGTAGAAGGTTCTATCAGCTGGCTGTTATTTCAACTTACCTCTGGAAGCATAATGATGCCTGGCTTGTGAGGGAAAATAAGATCGTGGGGTGTTGTAAAGTTTGTAGCTGTTATTGAACACAATTGAGTCGCCATTCCCCCTTTAGTGTCCTTCACCGATACCTGAAAGTCATAGTATCGACCGGGTTCCAAGCGTCGTTGTAAAACTACATTAGCTTGACACACCGAATTGTACTTGGTGCATGGTAGCGACTCGATCTTGACTGTCGATGACGAGGCATCGCCCACAAACTCAAACGTCAGGGGATAATCGAATTCCTCGTCTGTGGCCCTCAGCCTGTAAATCACAGAGCCGACTTGGGCATCTGCAGGTACTAAAACTAAACGCATACGAGTAGATGGATCAAATTTGGGATCCACACTCAGTACAGCTGATGGACTTAGTACTCCAATCAAGAGACAGGTTGTGAGTATTCTATATGAAGCTATCCACGTTAGTAGTGAAGTGGAGAGACGTCGCATAGCAGACGAAGATGGTTTAATGGACAATGATATTAGGTTTCTATTGTCAATTGATGGCTTATGGCAGTGGAATTGACCGATGGATTTAGAGATGGTATCTTGAAAGTTTGGTGAGGTGTATACTATGTGATTGGCGGATAAAATGCGTTTACTTTGACGATGATATTGGTCCAGGGGTTGTTTTGGCAGTCGCCAGCAATAGATTCGTTTTCTCTTTCGCTTACTGCCGCTTTCTGCATATTTGTTATTTTTGGAAGCCATCTCTGAAATAAAACATAAAAAATATAAATTAGTTGACATGCATAAATACATATTTATCCAATGAGATTTATTAATAACACTGTCCAGCACCAAAAATGCAAATCACTATAAATATGTTTTTGTTTCTTAAACTAAAGGAATCCGTATTTGAGATTTTAAGTTCATGTCTATTTTTTTTTTGAATATTATTCCTTTCACAACATCCATCCATTATTTACACGAATCAGAAATAGGAACTTATTTTCTAGGGAGTTAATTTTTGACAGTTTAAATTACAGAAAATGCAGAGTTGGGCATTTTTATTCGAATAAATAAATAATTGTACTATGGCCCCATCCATGGTACAATGACAGGACGTACAATAAAGATACTTAACAAATGAAGGCTGGTTTCAAAGGAAGGAGCTGTAGTAACGTGTTTCCCAAAAAAAGGAAAACACATAAAATTCAGTGAAATACATGACCTTTATGTGAGAAGTACGATTCATATAATTAAATTTTTAAAATTATTTCATGCAAATACTGAACGCGACTGCGTCATTCCGTTTGAACATCTCTAAATATTCGTCGTGGACCCCATAAAGTACATATACAGGTTGAGATGAAAAAACTGCAACCAACATCGGACTGCCTTCATTTCTAAGCCATTCTTCCGATAGCTGTTAAAATTATTCCAGTGATAGCTCATTATATTGATTACTAGCGTACAAAAGCATTTTGGTGAGAGTTTTACAGAAAAAAGTTATACGTGATGGAAGTCAAGCGTGATAGTGTGATTTCTTTACATTTGACTGGAAAACTACAGGTGGCTATCGTTAGAGCACTCCAGCATTTAAATCTGAATAACTCCTTTGTGTCTTGACCTCAAGGAAGTGGGCGGAAGAAAACAGCAAAATTAACAGAAATGGTTCGAAAAGTAAAGAAGTGACTTGATTGAAAACCGCCTCGCAGTGGCCGAAAATGGCTCGTGAGCTGAACATATCGCAATATTCCATTCGGCAAATATTGAAAAATGAACTCGGGGTAAAGCCATTGCAATTCCAAAAAGTGCAAGAACTTACACCGCAACAGAAAGAAAATAGACTCAACAGAGCTAAAGAGTTGCTTCGCTTGGCCGGAAGTGGTGAACCGCCGAATTTTGTTTTCTCCGATGAGAAAACATTCGTTATCCGGCAGTTTGTAAACAAACAAAATGATCGTGTTTACATGCCAGCTCAAAATGTGCACCTTCGGTTGGACACCAGAACTCCAGCGCCGGCCATTGTGATGGTGTGGGCCGCCATAACAGCCGATGATCGCTCTCCGCTTGTATTAATCGAGAATAAATGCCGAATATTATCGCGAAAATATTCTGGAGGGTGTATTACATTCCAACAGGACTCAGCACCATCGCACTCAACACGCAACACCCACGAATGGTTTCAAAATTAGGATCCTCGCTTCATATTCAGATCACAATGGACACCAAAATCTCCGTATACTAATCCGTTGGACTATTGTGTCTGGAATATTTTGGAAAGCAAGGTTGGCACTAAAAATACCAAAGTGTCGATCACTTAGGCATGCGCTTCGCCGGGAATGGGCAAAAATACTGCAGAGCAACATTGGGGCAGCGTGTGACAGTTTCATTGGCCGTTTGAAGGCCATAATTCGTGCCAAAGTTCACCAATTCGAACAAATCTAAACTTATTCTAAAATTTGATGCTATTTCCGACATTTTTTGCTTTCATTCAATAAAAAAATATAAAAATTATGGTTTGACTTTGTTGCAGTTTTTTTATCTCACTCTGTTTATACTTTGTAGGCTCTAAAATCTATAGTTCGAGGTGTTACAAACGGAATGACAAACTTAATATACCCTCCATACTATGGTGGATGGTATAAAAATTATTTCATGTAAATGCTGAACGCGACTGCGTTGCATTCGCATTTTCCAAGTTTGACATACTCTTACCACCATTTCGGCCGCTTCAATGTTGTATTCTACTGAGTCAATTGAAGCGGGTTCGCTCGTATAGACATAGCTCAAAAAAAAAAAAATAGTCTAAAGGCGTTAAAACGCACGATTTAGGCAGTCTATTGACTGATCCCGAATGTGGAATAAAATGTTCAAAGTGGCGCCCACTATTCATAATTATGTTATGATTCGCAGTAGGTTCCAATGATGCCACTAGCCCATAAACCGCACTAAACTTGACTTTTTCTGGATGCATTAGTAGCTTTCGCAGCGCTTCTGGCTGATCTTCACTCCAAGATCGGCAAGAAAAGCAATTTGTGAAAAGATTATAAATAAACAAAACCAATTTTTGCAGCTTTTAGAAATCTTGGCACAATTAGACTGAAATGCAGAGCTGCATTTTTACACCATCCACCTTGAAGAGAGGGGTATATAAACTTTGTCATTCCGTTTGTAACATCCATTAATATTCGTCGTAAACCCCATAAAGTACAAACAGGGTGAGATAAAAAAGCCGAAACAAAGTTAAACGTCATAAATTTAATTTTTTTTTTTAATTTTATTGAATAAAAGCAAAAAATGTCGGAAATAGCATCACATTTTAGAATAAGTTTAGCTTTATTCGAATTATGGCCTTCAAAGGCCAATGAAACCGTCACACGCCGCCCGAATGTTGCTCTACGGTATTTTGGCCCATTCCCGGCGAAGCGAGGAACCTCATTTTCTAACCATTCTTGGGTGGCGCGTGCTGAGTACGATGGTCCTGTTGGAATGTCCAATGTCTGCGGTCAAAATGTTTGCGTGCCCAAGGCTTTAATACGCCCTCCAGAATATTTTCGCGATAAGCGAGCGGAGAGCGACCATCGGCTGTTATGGCGGCCCACACCATCACCATGGCCGGCGCTTGAGTTCTGGTGGCCAACCAAAGCTGCAAATTTTCAGCTGACCTCTTTGGCAAGTAAACACGATCATTTTGTTTGTTTACAAACTGCTGGAAAACGAAGGTTTTCTCATCGGAGAAAACCGAATTCGGAAACTCTTTAGCTCTTTTGAGTCTATTTCTTTCTGTTGCGGTGTAAGTTCTTGCCCTTTTTGGAATTTCAATGGCTTTACCCCGAGCTCATTTTTCAATATTTGTCGAATGAAATATTGCGATATGTTCAGCTCACGATCAATTTTTTGGCCACTGCGACGCGGGTTTCGATCAAGTCACTTCTTTACTTTTCGAACCATTTCTCTAATTTCAATAGGGTTCGTCCTTGGGCCAAACAAATGATTTGTGCAAAAAAGATTCAAATAACTGGAAACAACTTAATGCGTAAATTTTTGAAAATCTCTGACAAAAGGCGCTGTATTTCAGGGCTGCATTTATATAAATTTACGAAACTGTTCTACCACCTTATTGTACCATGGTTTTATCCACATTTTTCTACGGATTTGCCTAAAAATTGGTATTTGTAGTTCGTAATGGGTTCCAGCCCCGGAAGCAGAACATTGAACATCTAGGTTAATGTTTTCCTATAGCGCACATATAACGGTTCCATCGGATATTCTGTATTTTCACGATTTAAGCCACATTTTCTAATAGATTTGTGTGAATACGATATTTGCACTTCATAATGGGTTCTACATCCAGCGTCAAAACATTGTCCATGTTGGTTCTAGTCATCCTAGTCACATTTACACAAGAAATTATGAAAAATTTGGTATTTAAGACTCGCAATACCGAAAGGACTTCTTTCGTTTTCAGCACAAAATTATTAAATGAAATGGGAAATAATAGAATATTTTTGGAACAGGCTAAATGTAGTTTATCGAGAATATATAGTTCAATCAGCGTTTAACAACTATCACCAAATGTTCTATTTTTTGGCACTTTCATGTTCTGTTCTAGAAACTGCAAGAATCTACTAGTTTTTACACACACACATATAATAAATGATCTTATTCTTTTTCTTTTGCATGAGTACGTTTATATTGCTTTACCCCTACAACACAATTTGCCTTTTGAAAAATCAAAAAAAAAAATTCAAATATAATTACTTCATTGTATATTGGGTCAATACAGTACAATTTACGCCCTTGTAGCGTTTGAATTTTTGAATTGGTTTACGTAATGATACATTTGAGTTGTTGTTAGCAGTTATAGTTGTTACCAGATTGTGTTTTTTTTCAAATACGTCGCGTTTTATTTCTATTTAATGTTGGCATTACAGTTTTTATGTTGATTTATTGCAAGAAGATAAAACGAATAGAAAAGGGCAGGATATGAGTGAGATTTATATTTAAAAATAAATACGGGCCAAATTGTAATGGGATCAACAATTTTTCAATTCGTAGTTTTTTGTTCAGCTCCCAAAAAATAATGTAGAATTTACTTGTTTGCCAATTGATATATACGAATTGATATATACGAATAACAATAAAACACGACTATTATTTCAGATGCTGATTGTATTTTGTCGTCACTTGCCAGTCAATATCAGTGTTTTTATTTTTTCAAATTCCGCCAGTCGAACAAAGAATTATGGCGCCACACCAACTTATCCTAATAAGCAAACATATGGATAAATATTTATATCGTCTGCGAATTGTCAGTTGAATTTATTACGAGTCAGTCTAATTCTATATACAAAGGTATGTAAAAGGTATTATGTGTTTATGTGATATGCATTATTGAGACCGATAACAATGGAATCGATATAGTCTATTTTAAATTAATTTGGATGCTGTATTATAACTTTTAATATATATAAATAAATTCATTACTCAATAATTTGTAGCAGTCATAACTACTTACAATCGCATAGATAGTTCTCCATTGTTATTTTGTTTGTTTGACGATGTTGGAAAGTAAAAATGGTATATTAAAGACAACGTAAATTATTGAATTTTATTATCAAAATGAGAGCCCCATGCCCCATGGGGTTATTAAAAGGCGAGTGAAAATTGTATTGGTTGTTCGCGACCGCCCGCCTGGATGGGTCCGCTTCAAGAGACGCATTGGACATTAGATATACAGGGTGACAACATTAGATATACAGGG